ATAATTTGAGAAAAATATTCTATTTAAGAAAAATATTTCATAAAATAATTTTAATTGAGAAAAATATTTAATAAAAGATTTTTTTTAAGAGAAATATTTTTAAAATGATTTTTTTTAAAAAAAAAATTTATAGAATAATTTTTTTTTAAGAGAAAATATTCTTAAAATAATTTCTTTAAGTAAAATATTCTCAAAGGTAAATTCTTAAGAAAAATCATTCTAGTGGTAAATTTCTTTAAAAAAATTCATTTAATGTTAAATTTTTGATTTCAAAGGTAAATTTTTTAAAAAATCACTTTAAAGTTAAAATTCTTAGAAGAAAATGTTTTAAAAGTAAATTTTTTTTTTAAATATAATATATCTGAAATTATATTTTTTTAAAGAAAATGCTATCAAAATATCTTTATTTTAAAGAAAATACTTTTAAAATTTTTTTTAAACAGAAAATGCAAGTCAATGATCTGAACTACATTATAAAATTAATTATAATATAAGCTAACTTATTTAGTTTGTAATATTTTATAGTAGCTTAAACTAATTCTAGTCAAGTCAGCTTATTTAGTTTGCAAGTAGTTTAACTTATAAAGATTTTAACTATTATTATCTTATATAATTATATATAATATAAACTGTTTTTTATTATTTTTATATATAAAGAGCAATTAATGTATTAGGAAAAAAAAGATTTTTAAATAAAAAATTTACTAATTTAATATAAAATGCTTATATAGTTAATATTTCTTATAAAAAACTAACAGCTTTGTTAGAAAAAAATTCATTATACAAATTACTATGCTTTCTATATGAACTATTATATTTTTTATAATGAATTATTATTAAAATTTCAAATTGTGAGCTTATTATATTTATTGTTTATTATAAAGAGGTTTATTATAATTATTTTTGACTATAATAAAATATTTTTATGATATTTTTAATTACTAAAAATTATATATTTTATAGAGTTTATGTATATTTAAATTACTCTAAAAGTTGAGATTTATAATTATTATTATTTATATCATCTGATTACATATCTTATTTAAAACTTTATATAGTTCAAATTAATTCAAAGATTTTCAGTTTAGTTTAAATTTAATTTAATTTCAAATTAAATAAAAATTAATTCATAAATTTTAATTTAATTTATTTTTTATTAAAATAATCAAAATTATTTATTTTATTAAATAAAGTATTATTTGATTTTAATAATCAAAAATATCATTTCAAATTAAATAATAAAAGTATTAATTAAATGAAATAATCAAAATTATCATTATAATCAAATGATAAAAATATTGTTTAATTTAAATAATTAAAATTATTATTCTAATCAAATAATAAAAATATTATTTAATTAAAATGATCAAAATTATTATTTTAATTGAATAATAAAGCATTCTTTAATTAGAATAATAAAAGTATTATTTAAATAGAATAATTAAGATTTTTTATAATCAAATAATAAAATATTATTTAATAAAAATGATCAAAAATTATTATTTTTATCAAATAATGAAAAAATATTTAATTGGAATAATCAAATTATCATTTTAATTAAATGATAAAAGAATTTTTTAATTAATAGTTTAAAATATTAATATTATTTTAATTGAATAATTAACTAAATTTTTAGATTAATTTAAAATTTTTAGTTTAGATTATGATTTTTTATAGATTGATATTTTTAGAATTTAGAATTTAAATTAAATTAATTGAAATTTCAGTTTATATTTAATTTGATTTATAATTCAGATAAATCATTTGAAATATTACTCTTATTTATTAATATTTTCTTTAACTTTTTTTTTTACTTATTTTTATATAATTTATAAAATATTTATTAGCTATATTTTATTCTTTATTTTTATATGTTGAAGAATATTAAGTCTTATAATTTTATTATTATTTTTTATATATAAAAGAATTTTATAGTAACTTATATTTAAAGCTTTGTTTATTAAATATTGATTATATAAAAAATAAGAAATTAATAATAAAAATTATTTATTTATTATTATTTATAATATATAAAATTTTAAATTATAAAGATTTATGAGTAAATTTTTTTAATTTATTTTTGTGTAAATTAAAACTTTAAAAAAATTTTTATAATATATACAGATTTCCGCTAAAAGTCTCTAAATACTTTTTGGCTTAATGTAAAACTTAAAATTTTAAAGTTTATTAAAAAAATTTATTAATTTATTTATTAATATACAATATGCTACACATTTGATACTAAATAATTAGTATTTGGTCAAGTTTTTATTTGCTTCATTTCAGCCTAAATTCACTGTGATAAATCACTTCAGCCAGCTTCGCTGCAAATCTTAATTAAGGATGATTGACCAGAATAAAGTCTCGAATTAATAGTTCTGATGTCATCCATTCTTTTTAAAGTTCTAAATACTATTAAAAATCCACAACAGATATTTGCGGTAATAACTCAATAACTATCACCACGTTGATGGCAAAATATATATCATCACATTATTCTTTAAACATTTTTGTAGTTTTCAGAGGGTAAATTTTATTTTGGTTAAAAATTAAAATAAACAAATCAAACACGCTTTTATTTAGTTTTGATTCAAGCAAATAAGGTCAAGTATATTACATAACCGCAGTATTATATAGTTATATGATGTATTTGATATGAAATAGCTAAAAGATAATGTTTAGAGACTTTTGGCGGGGGTCTGTATATAGTAATTTTTTATTAAAAAAATTTAACAATTTTATCAAAATTTATTTTAGTTATATTAATTCTAATATAGAAAATCTAACTAAGGATAACATTGTAATTAGTTGTAATTAGTAATAAATAAGCATCATATAATTGCAACTAATTATAATGCTATTTTTAAATCTAACTAATATAAAAAATAATAATTATTACTTTTAATTAACATTAATTAAAACTTTTTGCTCTAAATTTATAATGATGTTTATTTTTTAATATATTTAAGTCAAAAAATTCTTTTGTTTGTTAATATTTAATCAAGTGTATATAATGTATATTGTAATAATATCAACAAAACTAATTGTCATAATACACATTTTTTTTTTATAAAATTATCTTATCTTTACTATATAAAAAATACAAGGTCTAATCTTATTAAATGTTTATTTTACTTTAGTTAGAATATAATTTAATCTATTCAAGTTTACACTACCTTTAAAAGATATTATAATTGAGTCTTATCTTTATATGTTAGCATTTATAATTGATAAGAATGTTATTTTAGAGTATCAAAAGTTATTTGATATCTCTATAATAAACTTTCTTTTATAATGATTCTTTTCTTATCAATTATTATTATTTTATGGATTAACTTCTACATGTTATAATAAAAAAATTCTATTATTAATTAAACATTTCTTTAAACCAATTTTATTTAATACACAGTATATGTTGTTAAAAATCTTTGATATACCCATTTGTTTTGATAAAATAATACATTTTTTAAATTTTATATTATGAATATTCTATTTATCATGTTATTTGACGGTCATCTGCGACGTTGATTAATTATCGCTCCCTCGGGAAAACTAAAAAATGAGTTATTGCTAATTCTGAATATATTTTGGTCTAAAAATCTTTGGCATATAAAGTAAAAATGATATTTCCCCCATTCAATTGCAAAGGTCAATTATCTTGCTTATTTCATTCAAATTTACTCTTAAGCTTTTATGAAATTGGTGTTATAAATGGAATTAATATTATCGAAAATATTAAATAGTAAATAAAATATATATATGGTGTGCACGTTTCTATTTAAAATTTACACAAATAATCCGCAACACCAAGTATCTAACCAAATTTACCTTTAAACAAAGATGTGTAAAAAACAGAATTACCAAATATAACAAACAATTAATAAAAAAAAAAAATTGGGAATCTAATTTTTCCGATTATATATTAACCAAATTTGTATAAAATGACCAAAATAATTTTCGCGCACCGCCGCCATATACCCGTTCCACAGATGGATTTATAAGCAAAGGTGAAACCAACAGAAAAGTGTCTTTAATTAGGATAATAACGTCATATTGTAAAGTCGTAAAATTTACGCAGTAAAATTATCAAAGGAAAAAAAAATCTCCACTGTTCCAAATTATTTATATTATAATGACGAAATTCATATTAAGGTTCGCGAAGATTTGACTGTATATGTACAATGATTAATAATAGTATAGTTAAATACTATAACTTTATTTATATTTTTAAATTGATTGTTCATTATTTCTTAAAAAAAAAAAAGAAAAAAAATTGACTTCTTTCTTTTAGTGTTTGAGTGTTTTACTAAGTAAATAAGTATGGAGTGTTAGTCTTAATTAAACTCTTACTTGTGTAAAATATATATATATATTATATATGTACTTTTTGAAGGAGGAAAAAAAAAAAAAAAAAAAAAAAAAAAAAAAAAAAAAAAAAAAAAAAAAAAAAAAAAAAAAAAAAAAAAAAAAAAAAGCTCAGAAAAAAAATAATTTACAAAATATATTTCTTTTTTTTTTTCTTTCTCACCAGTTGTAGAAAAAAAAACTAAAATCAGTGCTCGTTAATTCAAATTATTAAAAATTGTTTAATATCATACAATTTCAGGCCTCGATCCGTTATTTTATTACACACATCCATCAGAGTGACTTGCTATTAAAAAAAAAATAACAATCCATAATATATCATCATAACTTCATATTTCTTTACTATCATCGATCAATCAAATTATCCAAACTCGTATCAAATATCCGAAAAAAAATATTTGAATAATATAAATTATTTCTTTCGACACAAATCATATTAATGATTCCTTATAACCATAATATCATATTTCTTAATTCTCAAGTTTTCTAACGAGCAATAAAAAGAAAGGATAATCCCCTCATCAATAAAAGGTGGTCATAGATAAAAGGTTTCTCGCAAAACTCCCCATTACCTGCTTTGCAAGTCACGTGCTAAGGGCGTCCGTCAAAGGTTCACCATCACTTCTATATTTCCTCTAATTCCTTTTACGCCTTTTATACTCTTCGTTGTTTTCTGGTGGATCAGATAACGGTGGTGCCCTAATTTGTGTCGCTAAAGGATTATTTACAACCGGATTCTCTGATTTAAATGAGGAAGGTGAGGTAGAAGAGGAAGTTGGTGGACGTTGTTGTTGAGACTGTGAATGCGATATTATAGAATTATTGTCCTTGTATCTATTATTTTCAGGTGGATTTAACAAATTACTATCACTACCAAAGCTTAACGATGAAGCAGGTTGCGAAGGCCTTCGATTTTGGGGTGAAGGTAATGACGATGACATATGTGAAGAGTGTGACTGACGATGTGAATTTGTATGAGAATATTGTGGTGAAGCCGCATGTGAACTAGACATAGATACCGATCTATTATATGTATCCATTGACGCGGATCTACTATTCCCGCCGGGGTTCACTCCTGGTATCGGTTCAGGAGAACGGTGTCGTAGGTAATTGTTACTTGGTTGAAAAGTAAATGGCATTTCTGGTAACATGGCTAAAGGACTTGATGTTTGAACTTTCGACTGTTGACGATGATTGGCAGGATATGGCATACGATATTCAACTTCTGACATCTGTGAATTATGATGCATATTAGGTGTATGCTCCACACCGCACATAGGTTGTGGATTTGATATTGATCGTCCCGGATCTCTAGGATAATGTGTAGGATGTTGCATTATCGGAGAATGAGAAGGTTGAGGAACATCAGCTTGTCCCAATTTTGCAACTTCTGCTTGTAGCAAATCCACTAAAAAGGTTCGATTATGATTAATTAATTAAATATTTATAAACAAATAAAAACATTTTTTTTATTTATTTAATTTTTTTAATTTTTTTTTATTAAAAAAAAAAAGGAATCAATTATATCACATTTACTTTCAAATTTTCGTTTCAAACTACGTGGATCGTTAGTATCATCTGTGTTTTGATTATTTGGGTTTAAGTAGTTAATATCACATAAAATGTATAAATAATAGCTAATGAAAATAAACACATACCTTCTCTAGACATGGAAGCAAGAAGATTCGTGATGGCAGTGATTACCTAAAAAATAAGTCACGTTAAAGTTTAAAAATCTAATTATAAGGGTATTCTTGAAATGATTGAATACCTGTTGATGTTTTGACTGTAACATTCTACAAGAAACAGTTTCAGCATACAATAACCCATAATTCTCACTCATTTGACGCATCCTTTCCACCATCTCAGACATTTGAGTTGTCAAAATATCAATCCTATCATCACGCAAAGCATCATTATCAGTCGAAGGACTTTGACCTGTCCCCGAGTTACTTATATTTCCTTTTATACTACTGGAATTAGCAGGCTTTGAACTTTTACGTTTAATATTTTGCAAGGCTAAAAGTTGTCCACGACGAAAATCCGGATGCTTAAACTCCCAAGCCTGACTTTCACTCGAAGGGTTAGCATGAAACATGTCGTTTACTAAGTTTACCAAAAAAGGAAATATGGCGTAAATCAAAACGGTTCGATCTTAAAAAAATTGGAATCACATCAAAAATTACCTTTATGAAATCCATACACTAAAAATAAAAAAACATGAAATTGATCAAAGATTTAGGATGAATGATTATTAAAAAAAAAAAAAAAGATTCAGGAAAACGAATTTTTCATACAAATTTAAGGCACAAAAAATTAACTTACTATTTAATTGTCTAACAAAACTCTGCCAATTATTATGTTTAAAATATTGTGGTAAAACTGATTTTGAAAATTCTGTTGGATTCGAGACACTGAAAACGTCACCCGAAGGCGCCCATGAGATCAAATGCTGAATCGATTGATCTTCCACCATTCTGTTTAATAAAGTTCAATCGATCACGTAACCAAATTTATTTGACGCGTAATTTTCATTATATTTATCAAGGAGATAATGATTTTGATGCGATGAAAAGTCGATCACGCTTTAAAAGCGAGAACCTGTATCAAATGGGACTTACGTGTAAAGTTTGTTCACAAAAGCGGCCTGCGTTTTATGAGTCGCAGCTTGAGATGTTGTCGTCATCGTCATCGTCATCACAGATGTAGACGGCGTAGAGGGTGATACGTTCGTTACATTTGTGTTAGAGGAAGTCGGAGAAGAAGTTGTAGTAGTTGTAGTAGTCGGAGCAGCTAATGGTTCATGAAAAGGAGAGGTAACCAAGGGAGTTGTGGAAGAAGGAGTTGGAGAAGAGTCAGGAAGTGAGGTGCCAGGTGGTTCAGACTGTGGCATGTAAAAGTCCCTGGTGCCATTATTGCTCGTATCTCTCTGAGAGTTGTCAACGTTATCATTATTGGTACTGCCAACGTTATTTGCACCTTTGTGATCCATGGTAGACCTTTGATTACTTTTATTAGCGTTGTCGGAAGTAACTAGAGCCAGGTTGGCAGAGTAGACTAGAGAGTTACAAAAATTGCGGGTATGAGATATTATTATTCGTAAAACCTTTTCTTTAAAAAAAGTACGCCGAAAGGAAAGTATTCTCGAAACTAGGGAATGACCAGGTATGAAAGAAATAGAAATGGAATAAAGACACAAAACGGAAATATTTATATTAGAACTTTCTCTCTTCGTTCTTATTTTTTTTTTGTTTTTTTTTTTTTTTCTCAGAAAAAAAAAAGGTGGTTTTTTATATAATCATTAAATAGTGGCTGAAAAGGAAATATTTGGAAATATACATTAACGTGTTTTTCACCGAATGAAAAAAAAATACACAAAAAAAAAAAATAAAATAAGATAAATAAAAAATAAATACAGTTGAGGAAAAAAGTTAAACTGTTCACGAAGGGTTATTTATAATTAACCTGTAAAATCAGATAAGAAATTAAATGATATATTTGATTAGATGATAATTTATTTACCGTTAATAGGTCCGGATTTCAGTAAATTTTCTAGGAAGTTAAGAGTTATAAGTAAAAAAAAAGAAGTGGATGGTTGATTGATGTGCAAACAAAAAATTTCATGCAATATTTTTTTGAAGGTTGTCAAAAAAAAAAAAAAAAAAAAAAAAAAAAATTGTTGAATCGAGAATATTCGCCATTTATATATAAAGTTTAAAAATAACAATATAATTCTCAACCTAACCCGCAATAATTAATTATATATCTAATGTAAACCCAATATATAAAAAATTTTTTAACAGTAACAAATATAAAAAAAAAAAAATGCCATTTTAGGGAAAATTGTTTTAAAATAACCGGAATGACTGTTACCGATTCGCCGCATTATAAGAATTGGATATTTTGTGGGCGTTTTGAGAAACAACACTGAAAGAAAAAAGAAAAAAAAAAAAAAAAAAAAATGAACAATAATTGTCTAAAGGGATGACCAAAATAATTCACAGATGGATTAATTTATATTTATAAAGAAGTTCTTGTTTTAGAATCGGGAATGAAAATTTTGATTTACTAATTATTATTATTATTTTTATTTTCCTAGTTGTGGCGGTGCTTCCATTAAGTATTCTGGAAAAATTAAGAAACCTATAGAAGGTAGGAAATTGTTTCCCAAATTTGCTGATGACCTCGTGGGGTGATACTAGTTTCCCAAAGAAAGATTGTACATCTAAACTTTTTCAAAGTTCCCTAACATGCCAAGAAAAAAAAAGAGAACATTACAAATAGAGTTTAGATTAAATATTTATAACCTGATTTCTGCAAGCAAGGGAACGTGAAAATTTTTATTTCATTGCGCAATAAAATTTTGATAATGTTGTACGATTTTTAGCCACCAACCTTTTTAAACTTGAAAAAAAAAATCTAAATGAAAATTCAATGTATTGTATATCAATCTAAGGTTGTGAAGCATTTCTTCAAGTGGAAAGTTTCACCACCGATGAAATATTTGGAAAATTCATAATGAAGGTAATTTCCCCTTACCTTTGCCATTAAACGTAAGATAAAGTTGATAAAAAGAATCTCATAATTCCTTTCTGTACGATTTAAAATCATAATATTTATGTCAACACCTAAATATTTATCCCGATGACATAATCTATTTTGCCGAATATAGACAGTTATAAACCCTATAAATAATGATTTATTGAGAGATTATAAAGATTAATTTGTTAAAGGACCCAGAAAGATTTAACATCTTTGGTCATTTCATATCGAAAGCATTACAAAATGACGTATGTTACACGTATAATACAAATTATTCCGTTTGCTAAAATGAACAAAGAAATCTGTGTTATGCGAACCTGATCTCGAGTGTATTCTTAAGTTCCTTGCTTGCCGAATTCAGAAAAGAACAATTTCCCATAATTGGCAGAAATTTTAAATAATGAGAGGATTTTATTGGCCAATAGAATAACAACGATTGAAATGTCAAAAAAAAAAAAAAAAAAAAAGACAAACTAGTACAAAAGTTTAAATGATCTGCTGATTTTATCTCTTATCAATTGAATGAATTTCTTGGGGTGGATCGTGTTAAAAAAGATTGAAATAAATAACAAACAAATAGAATGGAAGGATCAAACATACCATATGATTTTTTATTTTATACGCTAGGTTCAAATCCTAACTGAAACTTTATTATTTTAAAAACACCAGAAACTTCCTTTGTGGGTTTTTTTTCGTTAACTTCTTGTTTCATATCGAGTTATTAGACTAATTAAATATATTGTAACTGTAACAAATTCTTCAGCCCCCGTATACTTATTGCCAGATGATTCTAGCATTTATTTCATAATTTGTTGAATTTTCACAACAAACGTCATCCAGCAAAAAGCTTTCGTGAGGGGGGTTTTTTATAGAAATGTGGCGCATGCATTGATTTTTACACACCTTCTAATTTGACGACATGCTTTGCCCTATCGCACGATGTATTCATTATGCAGGTTCCAGCATCTTGGTCGTTGTTTCCTTGGGTCCAGAAATCATTCGTAAAATCCTTAATTAGCAAAGTTAATCACTTATTAGACTCCAATCACATATTGACGTTCATACGGTTGTAATTTTATAATTTTGCAAAATAGGTGTTGAAAGTTTTGTGTTTTTCCGGATTGCATGCTAATACACAATGTATTACTATGTTAAGAAAATTTTATAAGTTGTACGGGTGTCACATATTGAAAGACAGTGTGATTGTTTATGGTGTTACGATTTGCTTACGATTGCATATTCCAAGCAGTATCGCAAAAGAAAATTAGATGGAACGATGAATGGAATGGTAACTCAAAATGATCTGGAATCATCTTGTTTTTTTCTTTATAATACAAAGAAACCAAATATAGGATAATTTCATGATCCTTAATGATCCTTTGACATACGTTCTAACCTTATTTGAAAATTTCCGGCAAATGGAAAAATATGGGTAAATTCCGATGGTTCATTACACAAATGTTAAAAATAACATTAAAAAAAAAAACACAAGACAATAATCGAGAATATTCTCGAAATTAAAAAATATTTAAATGATATAAATGAGAGAATTGAAAAAATGTGTCACTGTTCATCAAATATGGATTACAATGAAATGCTACGTTCAATAAATCCGAATCAAAAATAAAATTTTTTAAAACAATAAAGGTTTTATTTCAATATACATTGAGCTATTCCTTATCTGTGATAAAATTTATGTAGGATACTTTAATACTTCTAAATAAAGCATTTCTTATTCGAAGATTCGTTCAATACAAACAAATGCTTACCAAATTTATTATTTATGCTTTCGTAAGCCATGGAAAAAAAAAAGATCGATCGGTCTCAATTTATCGAGGAATTTCAAATAGCTATACATTCAAAAATAACAACGGAAAAAATTTTTTCGCAACTTTGCATATCATTTTCAGATGTGAACGCATAATAGGTCCGTGGTCAGTTTCTCACGAAATTACATTTTATTGCAGTTATCGGAAATTATTTAGTGAACATCATCAATCGAAATTTATTCTAGCTTTGGAACCTGAATTCTTTTTCTTTTTAAACAAGCATTCGAATTCATGTGCAAATTGTGTATGACCCACACGACTCGGTGAAAATCTAATCTAGATTTTATAGAAAGAACTTCAATTTTGTACTAAAAAGGGAATTCAAATCTTTAAAGAGAATTCGTATGGTTTAAAATTACAATCCTATAATCCTTAATCTAACCAGAAATCAAATGTTTGTTTATTTGTTACTACAAAAAAAAAAAAAAATTATTCCGAATCCTCTACTAAATTACTAAAAATATTCTTTTTTTTCTCCTTTGTTCATTTTGTTTATGTGGTTCTACTATTTGATGACTGAACTAATTGATCTGAGATCTACATTATTTCTTTAAATAAGATGAATTTAACTCGCAAAAAAAGAATCCATATGATTTCTAATTCCAGTGAGAAATTTTTTTGAGCGAATAATCCCCCAAGACTGTAATTCTTAGATGACGGAAATCTATATTTACTTTACCCCGGAATTCTTTTTATATGATTCTATGAAATAGATCATCTTCGTAAATACCTATTGGTTTGTAGTAATAAAATTCTTTTTTCAAAAAGAAAAATTTTTTTTTATCGAAAACTCTTAAAACGTTAAATATAAATTTGACATATACGGTAACTTTCAATGAGAAATTATGGTAATTCCATTGCACAATGATGTACAAAATTGATAAAAACGCTACCAAAACTTCATCTACTAAATCCATCATTATTATCTATTAAACTCATTATTTTCTCTAACATACTCTGACTTTCATTAAATGAAATGGCAAATTCATCCTTTTAATTCACTTTTCCCGTTGATAAACGATCGTTATGACAAGAACAGCGATCGAGATTGTCCTTAACGAATCTTTTAGCCTGATTAAAATATTCCATTTTGAATTAGAGAAATTAGTAATTCTTTATATAGTGAATGTACTTTAACAGTATTATTAATTAAAACTAAAGAGATGATTTGAGTAAAAGATGAAAAGGAGCAGTTTTATTTAAATTTAAATAAAATAAAATTTTCTGATGTACAAATGTACAAATGGGCTGAGCTGCTAAGCCCCCTGCTACATTTGCATAATTTACATGTGAATTTTTTATTTCATTCATTATAATAGAATAATCCTATAATGGAAGATTTTCCGAGAAATTCTACACATCAGAAATTAGTTCTTTTTTTTTCCTTATTAAAATTAAAATATGACGCATCGTGGTGGTCGGATTTGATTGGTTAAAATGTTATTATGATGACTATCTATCAAAAATAAACCTTGTTTAGCATTAATTTTCGTTTAACGATATACTGCCTTTTCAATCTTCTCAAATTTGGCATTTTAAACTTACTTTCTAAGAATATGACACTAATAAAATTATATATTTTCTTAAATGATATTTGTCAAAATTTTTATGATATTTTTTATGTCATTTAGAAATAAATAGTGTAAATTAAAAATTAGCAAAATTCTAATTAAATATTTAAAATGCTAAAGTAATATATAAATATATCAAATTTTATATTCTAAATCTTTATAATAAAATTGCATATTAGCTAGAAATACATATCAAATACAAATTTTACTTTATTATTATTATTTTTTTTTTTAATGTTACTTAATAAAATTATTTTATTATTTTAAATTAGTTTACCAATTTTAAATTTACTAATTTTATTATAAATAATGTAATTTTTCAAAATTAGTTCTATTAAATTTTGAAATATAATTATTTCTTTTAAATATTTAAAAATTTATTATTTAATTATATTTATTACTATTATAATCTAAATTAATAATATCTTTAATATAAAAGTATTATATAATTATAAATTAAGATATCATAAACATTAATACCGTAAAATCTCAAATTTAAGCACCTACCAAATTTAAGCACCTCTATTACTTTTGTTATAATGCTTGTAAAACTAAAATTAAACACCCCCAAATTTAAGCACCTCAAATATAAAATTTTGTCTATTCCAAAAACTAAAATG